TATATATATATATATATATATATATATATCTATTTCGGATATAAAACAAGAATAGTTAGTCAGTAGCTTTATTATAAGATTTAATAGAATGTCGTTTTATTTGAAGCCGTTTTTAAAATTAGTTTAATTTTTTTTCCTGGCTGTACTTTGTACGAGTGTGCGAGTTGACGACAGAAATATTAGGTAAATTCGAAAGGTGCTAAGTCGCCCGAACGGGCGAGTTTTTGTCGGGCGAGATGACGAATAACCCAAATAGGGGGTGCGACTCACACGATAGGCTAAATTGTATATTTAAATGATAAAAATACAAAATTATTTCGTGGCGATCGTGTCGCGAGCTATCGGCGAGTGCCGGTCTTAGGCGCGGTGGTCAGAACCCCCCCCCCCCCCCCCCCACCGCACTTCACATACTCCCCGCGAACACCGTCTGTGCTGTCGTAACGGCGCCGACACCTATCAAGATATAAATATAATTAATAGAATCAGGCATTACTTTGCGGAAATCCATTATATTAAAGCTATTAGAAAAATTTACTTCGCAAATATCCGCGTTATAAAATAAAATGATGTGTCTTACCTAGTACGAAGAGCACCTCCCGCCCTCCCTCAATTGCGTGCACTGTCCCCGTCACCACTAATCCCAGCACCGCTACTCCCAACATCACTACACTAGGCAAGACACACCACTGACGACAATACGACACGTGTCGTATTGTCGTCAGTGGTGTGTTCTAATAGCTTTAAGATATAAATAGCCATTTTTAAAATTTTTGAACCGATTGTTATCTAGGATGAAATATAATCCTCTGAAAAAGTTTTATTTTTATGTTTTGTGTTAAATCTAAATAACTTCACTTTAATAAATCCTGTCCAGGCGAAACCGGGGCGGGTCGCTAGTTCCCAAATAAGTTTAGAAAAATAATGAGTACACGTTTTTCAATATTCCCGTTGGCCACTTCCCGATAATTATGTCCAACGGCCGCTTATTATATCTATCTTTATAATTATCATAACCTTCTTGAGACCAGTACAAAGAGAATAATACGAAATCAATTAATTACATCAATCAGCCATTGTCACGGCCATTAACATAGCCGCAGGTTGAAATAAACTTACTTAATTACAAAGTAGTATTGTTTTTAAATTGTGGTTTTAGTTACGTACCTTCGTTACGAATGCAGTTAACATTATTCAGTATTATGAAACAAAATAGTGACGTATATAACAGTGCTTGTGCTACCACATCAAACCGACCGACGTCGATCGATCGATCAATAGACAAATGACATTAAATCGATCTACTCGTTCGCTCGATTTTATTTATTTGCCATATTATGATAGATCAATAATCGATGCTCCGTGGCGAAGTGGCTTTGTTGCATCTTGTTCAAAGATTTTAGTAAAAGTAGATATTTAGTGGAACAAGATTTGTATGGACTACAAAATAATTGTTCCGGATCTGCATGTTTGTCCTTGTGCAATTTATGTTTGTAAACTGCCTCCGCTATACGCATCGATATATATATATATGTACGTAGTACATATATATCGTACATATATGTGTACAAAGGCCATACGGGAAAAGTCCTAGTGGGGGGGGGGGGGGGGGATATAACGAAAAAAAAAACGTGTGTATGTACTTATGTACGCACGTAGGAAGTTATACTTCTTTAGCGTTACAAAACAAAAATAACTAAAAATAACTTCAAAAAAAAATATTCTAATGTCTCTTATTTTAAATTCTATTCTTTTACCTGGTACAAGTTATAATATACCATTTCTAGTTCAAAAAAGCGTATCCATTCTTTACATTTTTGCCTTCGTAATACATTCTGAAATAAATTATGGAGTAGATTTTATAAAGAGACATCAATCGACCGTTGATAGATTATCGATTTAACTGGATTAAACAATGATTTTATCGATTAATATCCGACAATCAAACAATCAAACAAATTATATCTTATATTTAGGCAAACATTGCACATTGAATAATATTTCTTTATTTTTTTCGCTTGGATTTTATCACGTAAAATTTTGACAAAATCTGTAAAACTAGTTTTAATCAGTTTAACTAAATTGATTTACGACATCGTCTGACGATAATATATAAACATGTATCACTCTTTTGAATTGAGTAACCCATGCTTACGCTACAAGCTTAACAGAATAGAGTTTGTTCTATTTAATTTGAAAGTATTCTTAATTAAAAACGTTCTCAAAATTGTTGTGATAGACCGTATTGGTCGAGACCTCTATATTTTTTTAATAAAATAACGGTGACAAACGAGCACACAGTTCACCTCATAATAAATGGATGCTGTGGTCCATAGACATCTACATTTATCGTCGATTAAGAAACTAAATGCAGATGCGTTGTCAAACCTGAGGACTAAGATGGAATGCCTTCTTTCCAGTAAAAAGAGTCTCCGGTTCTCTACACTCGCCATACGGATTCTGTGAGAGCGTGGTCCTACCCCGGTCGAGCCGACTTATTCGTGCTACACAACTATAATTTAGCTGCAGTGTGGCTCTACCACGTATAGATTACTTTTATATATTAATGCTGATTAAGACGAATTTATTTATACCGCATATCGTTAAAATTATACTACAATAATTTATAATTCAAATTTTGTACAACCGACTTCAATATAAGTTATTAAGAATAACTCAAAAACTATTGGTCAGAACTTGATCAAATTTATAATGTTAAATTTATAATGGTGCATGTGAACCATCTGCTTTTAAATAAAAAAAGAATCATCGAAATTGGTTTATTATTGTTAGATAATAACATTATTTTGTTATACAAATATCTTAAAAGGAATAAAACACCTCCGCTGTTATTCTAAGAATACAATGATCTAAAACACGTAGAAATTTCACTTTGTATATTTTGTTTGTTACTTATGAAATGTGCCAGCTCGCTGTGAATCTGGATTAAATAATTTAATCTGGATAAATGGAAAATCTTTGTTATCGGTGTACAGCGTCGTCTCTCGATAAATTGCGAGCACGTCACATAGATCGCCTGGAGTTACGAGGAATTATCTCTCTGTCCGAGTTTATACTCTGTTCTATTTGAATTTATTTATACACGTCTACTTCGACTACGATTTATATTGCACAAAGATTCAAAAAGTCTGTACTTAAATGATTTCACAGAGATTTTAAGAGTTAAAATGAGCAGACTGAGGCACTTACTCTTATAGTCGACTGCAAAACAAAAGGGAAAATTCTCAATGAGGGATAGTAATAACAAAAATCATCATCATCATTACAGCCCTTCACAAGTCCACTGCTGAACATAGGCCTCCCCCAAGGAATGCCACAAAGCACGGTCCCGGGCCACCTGCATCTATTGACTTCCTGCATGTCTTACCAGGTCGTCACTCCATATTCTGGGGGGACTCCCTACACTTCGTCTACCGGTACGAGGCTGACATTCGAGAACCTTTCTTCCGCATCGGTTGTCGGTTCTTCAAGCTATATGGCCGGCCCATTCACTTCAGCTTACTAATCCGTTGGGCTATGTCGGTCACTCTGGTTCTACTGCGGATATCCACATTTCTATGTTTATCACGCAGAGAAACTTCGAGCATAGCCCTCTCCATAGCACGCTGAGGGACCTTGAGCGTACTCATACGGCCAGCAGTGAAGGACCACGTCTCAGATTCATAAGTCATCACTGGCAACACGCACTGGTTGTACAATCTTGTTTTCTACTAAACTTCGTCTGCCGGTACGAGGTCGCCACTCGAGAACCTTTTTTTTTTTTCAAAAATCATAAGCTAATTGAATGTCGCTAGTTTGGACTAAGGTGAACTTATTTGTTACCCAGATGGTAACATAGTGTCATCATCACCGAAAAGTTGCTATTTAATTCTAAGTTTTTTTTCCTGTAATACGTAAACAATGACGCAGTGCTGCATTCAAATTTGTACACATTTTTTATTTTTTTTTATTTTTCTACTTCTAAAAATATTTATAGTTTGAATTTATCTCTGTATTTCGCATCTAATTAATATAAAATATAACTTTAACTATATAATATTTCAGAAAGAAAAATTAATCTCTCCAATTATCTAATAAATCAACTTTTTCCGCTATGAATTCTGTGCCGTGTCGCCTTGGTGGCAGAAAAAGTCGTGAATTCCCTCTTTCCACTGCATGTTTTTTTTTGTATATAATATGTTACGCGACATCTTTTATACGTGGTAGAGCCATGTTGCAGCTATATTAGTAGTATAGTTGTAGCACGAATGGGTCGTCTCGACCGGGGAAGGACCACGCTCTCACAGAATACCAGCGTCAAATAGCAGCTTAACACTGCTGTGTTTCGTATGGTGAGTGTAGAGAACCGGAGACCCTTTTTACTGGAAAAGACGCATTCCATCTTAGTCCTCACGGGTGACAACGCATCTGCATCTTGAGTCTTTATTGAGGATAGATGTAGATGTCTATGGGTCACAGTAACCACTTACCATCAGGTGGACTGTGTGCTCGTTTGTCACCCGATTCTATAAAAAAAAAAGTGATTGCTGTGGCCCATAGACATCTACATTTATCTTCGTTTGCGAAATAAAATGCAGATGCGTTGTCAGCCTTGAGGACTAAGATAGAAAGCCTCTTTTCCAGTAAAATGGGTCTCCGGTTCTCTACACTCACCATACGAAACACAGCAGCTCCCCGGTCGAGCCGACCCATTCGTGCTACAACTATACTATTAATATAGCTGCAGCAAGGCTTTACCACGTATAAGCTTCTTAGACGATATTCGAGATTTTGATATTCCTGATTCCACTCAATGAAGCTGCGTGTGCGTGTGTGCGTGTGCGTATAATTATAATTTGATTAAAATTAAGTAGGACTCTTAACTTGCTAGTTTTATTATAGTTTTTAATATTGTACATATTTATTTCAAAATAAAAAAGGACTAACAATTGATAATTTCTCAAATTTCTTACGAGTCTCCGTTGTTTTTTTGTCTGTCGCAGCTACATGGAGGCGGCGTGTACTTGGGAGCGACGCATGACCGTCCGCATAGCGAGCGGACGCGTTATCGCGCTGCACACGGAGCGAGCTCGCTACCGTCCCGGCGACACGCTACGGGCACGCGCAATTGTGCTCAAACCCGACCTAACTCCGGCGCACGGAGACGTAAGTTACTACATTTTTTTTTACTTTATGTGACGCTTTGGTTTTTCTATTTCATTTACGTGAGTGTACGTTGGTACTTCTGTAATAGAAAAGTTTTTTTTTACAGCAAAAGTGTCACAAACGAGCAAACAGTCCACCTGATGGCAAGATTTGTCAACATCTATCTTCTATTAAAAATAAAAATGCGTTGTCAACTTTGAGGAACAAGATAGAAGCCTTGTTTAAATGAAAAGGGTCTCCGGTTCTCTACACTCACCATACGAAACACAGCAGCGTTAAGCTGCTATTTTACGCTGGTTATTCTGTGAGCGCGTGGTCCTTCCTCGGTCGAGCCAACCAATTCATGCTACAACCATAATATAGCTGCAGGGTGGCTCTACCGATCTACTCCTGGACGAACAAACTTACTGTCATTCCCATCCTGCGGATTAATGATACCAAAAGTACTAGACCTTAGGTACATATGATTACATGATGGTTATACAGTCATGTATCAAGGGCAGCAAGATAGTACAGGTGGTTTTTCTATTACAGCGCTTCTGCACGGCGTACTCCTTACTGTTTAAAAACAACCCTGTATGGAAATTTGTAGAGATTTGTAGAATTCACATAATTAAGTACAACACAAATAAAGTGTCGTAAGTATACAATTAAACTGTTACTGTCCGTCCATCCATTGCAGCCTATAAAGTCTACTGCTGAACATGGGCCTCCCCCATAAATTGACGGCTCCATGGCGCAGTGGCTTAGCAATGAGTTGCTGCGCTGGGGGGCGCGGGTTCGAATCCCGCACGGAACAAGTATTTGTATGGCCTACAAATGATTGTTCCGGGTCTGAATGTTTGTCCTTGTGAAATTTGTGTTTGTAAACTGCCTCCACGATACAGGAGAAAATCCTAGTGTGGGGGTAACGTTTTTTAAAACAAAAAAAAAGAAAGGATAAATAAAATTACCTCATAGAAGGGGGGGGGGGGGGGACTTTGTCATAGTTGCTACGTTTTTCAAGTGGACTGGCTGTTTCACTATGGTATTCTCTGAGAGCGTGGTCCTTCCCCGGTCGAGCCGACCCATTCGTGCAACAACTATACTACTAATATAGCTGCAGCATGGCTCTACCATCGCTCAGCACACCCATGGGACATAGAGTAATGGATATTCTTACAGAACCACTTCACAGTAAAACATTTCTTGTGAAAAACATTATTTACTGATATATGGTTTGTGTTTCGACTTTAGAGTATAAATAACCAAGCTAACGTTTCGACCTACAAGACAATAGGTAGCGTGGCCGAGCGGTCTAAGGCGCTGGTTTAAGGCACCAGTCTCTTCGGAGGCGTGGGTTCGAATCCCACCGCTGCCAGTGTTTTGTAGTACATACACGTTTTGAAGCACATATTATATTGTAAATTAATGTATAAAAAAAAGAGTACAGTGGCTTTTCTTGCTGGTGTTTCCAAAGACAGAGGTTTTTTTCCGAACCAGTGCTAAAGACATATATGAATTTAAATAAGTATTTTTGTAATCTAAATTGAATAAAAAAATATTCTATTCTATTCTGTAATTTTTAAATCCAACTCAAACGTCGAAGTTTTACAATATTTATTTTGTGATATTACTAAGATAGACAAAGTTATAATAAATAAAATATTGAAGAGGAATTTTATAGCAAAGCCAGCAGTTTCTCTGCTATAAAAAGAAAAGTGTTGTCGGAATTGACATGCGTCGATAAAGAATCATTAAAATCATTTAATAAAATTGGTTCACAATTAACGAAATAATGCGTAATATTGCATATTAAACTTACGTATACCGTCGCGTTTATACCATGTACCTCCTCCCTTACTTGAAGTCGGCTAAAATACTAAAGATACAATTAAAGACAATTTTAGTAGACTTTAAAATAACTTTATTGTCGTAACTGATGATATTAAATGCTTTTTGTGCATAAACGTTCATTACGTCATTCACTTCAATCTGAAAAGGATCCATATTGTGTTAGTTATATCGATCTTAAAAGTAGTATAGTTTTGACTTCATTTGATTGATCTATAATATTTAAAAAAAATATATATATTTTCTGATATAATTTTCGTAAAATATAAACCTGTATGGAGTGGAAATGTTCATATCAAAATGTTATGCCACCATCGTAATCGGTTTGCATTTACCAAGTCTCACCAACAGCGTATTAACCTTTTATTTTTAATTTTTCTTAATTAATCTTTAAAAAAAAATACTTAGCTGATTTCGAAATCTAGTTGACGGACTACAAAGGTCCGCCATTGTGCGACTCGCATTTCAGTTACTGCTACAATTAAATTCCTAGTTCGCGACAAAACTTTTTAGTTTGTCCATGTTTCTAAACTTTTATGCGCTAACAGGCATTCCATTAGTGCTGAGCAGAGTCGAATTTATTCTCAGGCCAACGTCAACGGGGTTTCATTTGGGATCGTGCAGGATATCGAATAACAGCACGGGACACTATATTTTTTCACTTCTTTTGGTATCGCCATATGCAGTATGGTGAAAAATAATACATCACTCGGACATCACCAGATTACGTCCCATGGAAGTCATACGAGGCGACTACATGGAGAATGTAAGAAAGATTAGCCTCCCGAGAGATAGCCGTATAACTATTTATTAACGTTAAGATAAGATGATTTATTTGTTACAATATGGTACATTAAAGTTGTTACAAAATAGTTCGTGTCCTAAATATACTGCCGTTACCGGGGTACAAATATTTTCAGACAGATTATCTATACAAATAAATAAAATTGAAATGTCTGTTTTTAATGTCGAAATAACTGCTTTTTACTAAATGCATATGAAAGCTTATACGGTACTAATAACAAAAACATTTTTTTTTAATTTTGTTTGTCTGTCCGTTTTGTTCCGGTTAATCTCCGAAACTGCTGGACCGATTTTGACCGGACTTTCACTGGCAGATAGCTGATGTTATAAGAAGTAAATAAGGCTGCTTTTATTTTAGAGAAAGAATTAGGGTTCCGCGCAGAAAATTAAAATCCATGAAATCCAATCGTAATAAATTATGCGCGGGGGCGAAGTCGCGGTGAACAGCTAGTGTTAGAATATAATAGAAAATCAAGACATTAATTATTATAGAATATAAAGATACTTGCAGCTGTTCTTAAGGAAACTAAATAGCATCTATATAAAAACATAAATGTCAATCTATTAATTCATAATATTTCTTAATTAAAACATGTCAATTTCGAGATTGATTTCCATGATTACAATTGGAGTCAAATTTATCATTTAAGAAGTAATTTATAGAGTAATAACATTCATTAAAAAGAAATTGAAATAATTTACTTTTAAACATTCCTATATTCATTTTTTGAAACAAACAGGCAGTTTGTTGTAAACATGTATTGTCATACAATATACATTTTTTGAGTATAGTTGTACACACAATTTATGTATGTTTCTGCTAGTCCTAATTATGACGTCGTTCTGTTTTTCAAATAAATTAATATTTTCGTGAATAAAGACACAGATTTCGTAAATGTATTATGCTGGAAGCGGCAATATTTTATGTTTGTGAAAAAGGGGAATACAACTATCTAATTGGTGTGCTCCGCATAAAAACCTTACACATTTTTACAGCCCGCGAAAAGCCCTAATAAAATCGACAGAATTACCCCAACTTATTAAGCCGTAACGTAGAATCAAAGAAATATATCAATGATAGGCAGAAAGTGCGGCCTCTATGTCAGCCACACGTCTTAAACGATATAGAACAAACACAAATTTATCTATCTTTCTACATAGGTTAGCAAAGTGTCTTCCAATTACAGAACTTGTCTACTGTTACACCTAAAAAGTTGGTAAGATATTTAGGTGTAACAATAGACAAGTTGGTTAAGCGTATAATAGCATAACGTCTTAATATAGGATAGGGTGACAAACGAGCACACAGTCCACCTGATGGTAAGTGGTTGCTGTGGCCCATAGACATCTACGTCTATCCTCAATAAAGAATCAAAATGCAGATGCGTCGTCACCCGTGAGGACTAAGATGGGATGCCTCTTTTCCAGTAAAATGTGTCTCCGGTTCTTTACACTCACCATACGTAACACAGCAGTGTCAAGCTGCCATTTTACGCTGGTATTCTGTGAGAGTGTGGTCCTTCCCCGGTCGAGCTGACCCATTCGTGCTACAACTATACTACTAATATAGCTGCAGCATGGCTCTACCACATACAAAACCACGTCTGGTGCTACGGTATCCAATCCGAAGAAAAAGAACATAGGGTCGCAATACGAAAGATTGAGTAAAGTTGCCTTAAAAGGTGCTTCTAGTCTAGTGTTAAGAATTATATGCTTTTTTTTCTATATTAAAAAACGTTACCATGATTTTCTTCTGTATCTTTTAGAACTTTTTATAAGTACATAAATTGCACAAAAATAATGATCCAGACCCGAACAATTATTCGTAGGCCGTGCGGGATTCGAGCCAGCGGTCCTCTGCGCCGAATATCAATTATACGTGGTAGAGTCATGCTGCATCTATATTATGGTTGTAGCACGAATGGGTCGGCTCGACCGGGGAAGGACAACGCTCTCACAGAATACCAGCGTAAAATAGCAGCTTAACGCTGCTGTGTTTCGTATGGTGAGTGTAGAGAACCGGAGACCCTTTGTACTGGAAACGAGGCATTCCATCTTAGTCCTCACGGGTGACAACGCATCTGCATTTTGACTCTTAATCGAAGATAGATGTAGATGTCTATGGGCCACAGCGACCACTTACCATCAGGTGGACTGTGTGCTCGTTTGTCACCCTTATCCTATAAAAAAAATCAATGCTAAGCAATTCCATCACCGAGCCATTATTTCAGATAGTTATTATGGTTTGCAGCATCCATTATCAGTCATGAAATGACCAAGTTGCTTGATCCCGATGGTGTTGTCATATTTAATATGACAAAGTCCGTTAAAAGTCAAAGTATAGTTACTTTAGAGCCTATAGC